CCCAAACTACCTCACCGACCTGATACCCAAATACCACCCAACCCGTATCCTTCGCTCCTCACAAGACCTCCTACTTTCTAGCTCCTTGGTCTCCTCCTCCCACGCCCGACTGCAGGACTTCTCCAGGACTTCCCCCATCCTCTGGAACTCTACCCCAATCCATCAGACTGTCACCTATCCTCCTCACCTTCAGGCGCACCCTGAAAACCCATCTCTTCAGGGAAGCCTACCCCACCCTCACCTAACAGCCGATCTCTTCCACTCCTCCTACCACTCCATCCCCCACAGCCACTTCCTCCTGTACCACTATCTTCTCCCTCCTAGATTGTAAGCGCGAAAGAGCAGGGCCCTCAAACCCCTCGTGTATTGTTTTGTTACTGTATTATCTCATGTACTGTCCCCCACTATAATGTACAGTGCTGAGCAAACCTTTTGGCACTATATAAATACTGTATAATAATAATAATTAGTATAAGGTAACATTGACAAGGTCAGGGAATCATTTACAAAAGTTTTTTTCTGTTTTTGCAAAGTTTATTGAATATGCAAAACAGAACATCAAGACACAGACAACATGACATTTTTAATCATTTTTGTGCTTGGTATTGTTCCATTTGAATCTTTCATGGTGATTTTATTTTTTGCATCCTTGTTGGGGCTGGCATAGATGGCATGGCTCAGGAGTGCAGGGTGGCAAGCATCTGTGGATACAGAACATTATAATATGAATACATGTTATATGTTAGTTTTCTTAAGGATCACATAAAATATACAGGAATAATTATATATGTGATAAATTGCCTATTTTAAAACAAACCATGTCAGCCTGTACACCATAAATTACTATGGCATTCCTAAATATACCCCAGTACAACTGTTAACATTCCATCATAACCAGTCTAGTTATACTGTCTGATTGATCCTGAGGCCCTGAATCCCAGAAGTCATGGTTTCTACACATTGAACTGATTATGGCCAACAAGCCTGAAACAGCTGTACACAAAATATGGGTAAATGGCCCTATAATATTAAAGGCCAACTCAGGCAACAACACATTTTTCTTTGCAATAGAGCTCTGCCTGCTCTGCAAGTGTTATTTCCTTGTCTAGGTATAGGGGAACAGTAAAAAAAGTGTTTCGGCTGTCCCCTAGACTAAACGAGCAAATGGCTCTTGCAGTGCGGACACGACTGCAAGGGATAATTTTGCAATTTCTGGAGGTGGATTTTAAGCAGAAGTGTGATAAACCAGTGGTTCTGGATGTATAGTTGTGCCAGGGGCAATAACCATAGGTTTTAATCCAATTTACATATGGATTATATATGACATCTATAATAAACACATATATACATGGTCATATATGGATAGAGTATGGCCATACAATTTACATATGGATTGTATATGACATCTATAATAAACACATATACACATGGTCATATATGGATAGAGTATGGTTAATCATGAAATAGTCAAGGAATATAAGAGAGATTATGATTTTTTGGTGATTACATAAACTGCATTTAACATAGGTAACTAGTACCAAGCATATCTTTGAATTTGTTCAGCTTGACTAAACTGAATGATTTGTCTGCAAAGAGTATGTCCTCCTCAATATGATATTCCAATACTGAGTTGATATTATTGGCCCAAAGTGAACTTGCAATAACAGAAATATAGAGGAAGCCATTGGCTGAGTTGTTTTTAAAGGTTCAAGCTCCAGAGCTGTCACCCTCATTCTGCTTTAATACCTAGTAGCAGGATTCTGTGAGAATGCTACAAGTTTGCAGCTGTCGGCTTGTAGTTCTCAATTAACTACCATGGTACTGTGGAGCGCCATGGTAATTCATTGATTTTTCCTGTCAGTATCTGCATGCCAGTACATCCCATAGGGCAAGCAGATATACAGACAGGTCTGCAGGAGACCTGCATGGCACAAGTAATCTGCTGATCACTTGTGCAATGCTGTACAGACTCCTCCAACCAAAAATAATAAATGCACATTTTTTTTACCTGCAAAAAAATGTGTACTTATTATTTTTTGTAAAAAGGCGAACTACCCCCCATTCTCTGTATTCCTCGTATCTTATATATTCAATAAAACATTACTTTGGAGGAACAAAAAAAGGTGAACTTATCCTTTAAAGTTAGGCTATAAGGCTGGACATTGACAGCTGCCACTGCTGACATGTTTTACAAAGGAGCATGATGACCCGGAGCAGTCATGCCAATCCTGGTTTCACTACCTAGTTAGCCACTGATCTAGACCAAGAGCACAGGTAGAAATGAATGGATTCTTGTACCATATGCTTGGCCAGGTCTGTGACTTTCCAGGTACTAAAGCCAAAATTGTAATGCTTTCTTCCCCATCATTGTCTAATTAGGAAAGTTTTCCTTCACATCTTGTCCTGTAGACTCAAGAGTAAGTGAAAGAATATCTTTCCAATGTAAAGGAAATCCACTTCTAGAACAAGTGTCCCCATTGAAAGATATCCCCTCTATTCCTGTTTTGGTGGCAAGACAAACTTTTGGTTCTACCCTCATTTTTATTCCCGGAGACATTGGTAATCAGAGTAATTAGAGACAATCTCATTAATGAGGACACAGACAGTAAAAAAAACCTGACAGTTTAACCACTCACTACTCTATCCAAATATAAAAAAACGTTTGCCTTTAGCAATACTTTAACAATAAGTAAGCAGTGGCCACTCCCATGCATTTAATGGATGCAAATTGCACTGCAAAGATTAGCATGCAATTTGAACAGGAGCGCAATTCCTGTCCAAAGAGTTAAGTTGCCCTAAACGCAGTGAAAATTATATACCACTGATGTGTACTACATAATTCTTAAAATAATAAAAAAAAAAAACCCATAGTGGCCATATATTCCAACTGAATACATATAAATTACATTTGAAAATGATTTTGATGTTTACTGACTCACCAGGCTTAGTGCACTGTGTTTGGTCCTGACATTGTTGCTCTGATTTGCATTTGCATTCTGAAAAGGAAAAGTAGGGACATTATTTATGATGCCCTTAGATCAATATATAAAGGTTTAAAGAACAATTCAAAAAAGAAAACACTAAAATGTAATTTGAGAAAGGTGTCTAGTAGCAAATATTTCTATATCTTTGATCTCTGATAGTCATACAGCAGCATATTTGTTTGACACAAATGAATGGGAATGACATGTCCTTGAGCACAAAAAATATGTGAGAAAGTAATGCACTTGCTGGTGGTGATTGATTAAAACTCATTCTTACATAATATACCTGAACATGTTAAAGCAAAATTTCTATGAAACAGGCATATTAATTTAGGTTGCTAATTTTGTTTTTCTTCATGAGTTCTTAATATGCTATCCCTTATACCAGGGGTCCTCAAACTTTTTAAACAGGGGGCCAGTTCACTGTCCCTCAGACCGTTGGAGGGCCAGACTATAGTTTTAAAAAAAAAAAAAAACTATGGTCATCTCCTGTACTGTGTCCGCATTTGTTCAGAGACTGCGGACATACAACGGCGGTGGGAATATTGGGCCGGCCGCTCTATAAGACACACAGACATTTCCCCCAAGTGTGTCTCTATGGAGCGAAATAGTGTCCCATCATTGGTGTCCCCAGTGGGAGGAATAGTGCCCCACCATTGGTGTTTGATGCCCCATCATTGGTGTCAGTGGGGAGGAATCGTTTTGCCCCATCCATTTGTTTTTCAGTGAGAGGAATAAGCTGCCCCATCATCTGGTCATCTTAGTGGTGAGGAACTAGTGCCCCATCATTGGTATCAGTGGGGAGGAACTAAGTTGCCGCCATCATTGTGTATCAGTAGAGCGATGGAACATGTGCCCCATCTTTGGATAGATACTATTTGTGAGGAATAGTGCCCCCATAATTGGCTGGTACTGTGGGAGAGAATTAGCTGTCCCTATGCTTTGCTGTGTCAGTACGGAGGAAATAGTGTGCTCCAGTCAGTGGGAGGAATTTGTACGTCAATTGGTGCCAAGTGGGGGTGGGGGGTGTGGGTTTGGAATATATGCCCCATCGTTGGGGTCAGTGGGAGGAGGAATAGTGCACCCATCCTTGGTGTCGAGAAGGAGGAGGATTAGTGCCCCATCGTTGGTGACTGTGGGGGGAGGAATAGTGCCCCATCAATGGTGTCAGTGGGGGGAGGAATAGTGCCCCATCGATTGGTTGTCAGTGGGTGGGAGGAATAGTGCCCCCCATCGTATGGTGTCATTGGTAGGAATAGTAGCCCCCACCATTGGTGTCAGTGGAAAGAATTTGTGCCCCACCATTGGTCGTTCAGTGGGAGGATGAATTTAGTGCCCCATCACTGGTGTTAGTTGTGAGTGAATAAGTGCCCCATCATTTTGTGTCAAGTGGGAGGAATGTGTGCCCCCATCATTGGTGTCAGTCAGTGGGAGGAATCGTGCCCCCATCCATTGGTGTCAGTGGGAGGTTTCCTAGTGGGTTTTGTCCCATCATTGGTGTCCAAGTGGGAGTAATTGTGCCCCATCATTGGGATCAGTGGAGAGGAATAGTGCCCACATTCATTTGTGGTTCAGTGGGAAGTATCGTGCCTACTCATTTGTGTCCCAGTGGGTAGGAATAGTGCCTCATCATTGGTGGTCAGTGGGAGGAATAGTGCTCACTTCATTGGTGTCAGTGGGAAGATTCATGCCCATCTTTGGTGTCAAGTGTGAGAAATCAGTGTCCCCCTATCATTGGTGTCAGTGTGAGGAATAGTGTCACATCATTGGTGTCAGTGGGAGGAATAGTTTCCCATCATTGGTGTGCCAGTGGGGGGGGGTGGAATAGTGCCCACGTCATCGGTGGTGCCAGCATTGGGGGGTGGAATAGTGCCCCATCAATTGGTATCAGCGGGAGGGACGGAATAGTGCCCCATCATTGGTATGTCAGTGGGGAGGTATAGTGTGCCCCATCATTGGTGTCAGTGGGAGGAAATAGTGTCCCATCATTGTTTGTCAGTGGGAGGAAAAAGTTGTCCCATCATTGGTATCAAGTGGGATGAAAAGTGCCCCATCATTGGTATCATTGGGAGGAATAGTGCCCCATCATTTGGTATCGTGAGAGGAATAGTGCCCCATCATTGGTGTCATTTTGGAGGAATAGTGCCCCATCATTGGTGTCAGTGGGAGGAATACTGTCCATTCATTGGTGTCAGTGGGGAGGGAATTAGTGTCCCGTCAGTGGGAGGAAGGAATTGTACGTCATTGGTTGCCCTGAGTGGGGGGCGGGGGGGGGGGGGGTGGAATTGTTTGCCACATCATTGGTTCAGTGGGGGGGAATTTAGTCCCAAAATCTTTGGGTGTAGGGGGAAAAAATTTTTTTTGCCCCATCATTGGTGTCGTGTGGGGAAATTAGTGCCCCCATTTTGGTGTCGGGTGGGAGGAATGGGTTTTCCCTTCTTTGGTTGTCAGTGGGGAAAGGAAATATAGGGTCATTGGGGGGGGCCAGTGGGGGGGGGGGGGGGGAAAATATTTCCCCCAACCCTTTGGGTGTCAGCGGGGGGGGGAAATTAGTCCCCCATCTTTTGGGTTTTCCGTGGGGGGGAATTGTGCCCCATCATTGGTTTTCAGTGGGGGGAAATTTGTGCCCCTCTTTGGGTGCAGTGGGAGGATAGGGGTCCCATAAATTGGTATCGGGTGGGGGGGAATAGTGCCCCATATTGGGTATCAGTGGGAGGAATAGTGCCCCATCTTTGGGTATCGTGGGGGAAAAGTGCCCCATCATTGGTATCGTGAGGGGGAAAATAGTGCCCCATCTTTGGTGTTTTTGGGAGGTTTTAGGTGCCCCATCATTGGTGTCAGGGGGAGGAATACTTTTCCCCTTTGGTGTCAGGGGGGAAATTTAGTGCCCCGTCAGTGGGAGGAATTTTTACGTCTTTGGGGTGCCAGTGGGGGGGGGGGGGGGGTTGGAATAGTCCCCCAATTTTTTTGGGGTCAGGGGGGAGGGGGAATCGTGCCCCATCTTTGGTGTCAGTGTGAGGAATAGTGCCCCCATCATTGGGTTCAGTGGGAGGAATAGTACATCATTGGTCCCAGTGGGGGGGGGGGGGGAATAGTGCCCACGTTGTGTCCGGGGGGAGGTAGTCCCCCATCATTGGTATCTTTGGGGGAATATGCCCCTTATTGGTGTCAGTGGGAAAAGAATCTTTGCCCACTTTGGTGCGGGGTTTCCCATTTGGGGGGAGATTATCCCATCTTTGGGTTCAGTGGGGGAATAGTGTCCCATCTTTGGTATCAGGGGGGAGGATATGCCCCATCTTGGTATCTGAAGGGGAAATAGTGCCCATCTTGGTGTCATTTGGAGGAATGTCCCCATCTTGGGTGCAGGGGGGAGCAATACGTCCCATCATTGTGTCAGTGGGGGAAAATATGTCCCGTCAGTGGGAGGAATTGTACTCATTGGGGGAGTGGGGGGGGGGGTTTGGAATAGTGCCCACTTTGGGGGGTCAGTGGGAGGAAAAGTGCCCCATTTTGGGTCAGTAGGGGGGGAATTTGGGGGGGTTCCCCCCACGTTGGGTAGTGCGGGGGAGGAATGTGCCCCACGTTGGTGTCTGGGGGGAGAATAGCGCCCCATCGTTGGTGTCAGTGGGGGGGGGAATGTCCCCCATGTTGGTGTCGGGAGAAAATGCCCCTCATTATTATCAGTGACCCCAATGATGGGACATATTCCCCCCACTGACACAATGACACTTTACTAGCCGACCCCTGTTCCAGCATGGTGCTGCTGCAGCCAGCATACCTGGTTGCAGCCAGTACCATGAGGAGGGGAGGGGGGGGCGGGGAGGGAGGGAGGGGGGGGGGCGGCCGGGGGGGGGGGGGGGGGGGGGCGGGGGGGGGGAAGCCGGTAGGTTGATTTTTTTCCACTAGCTGAAAAGTTATATAACGCTTAAACATGCATAACTTACGGTCCTGGCACTTTCTGACATGATTGTCCCTGATGTTCATTGTGCTCATGGTGTACATGATGTTCAATTTGTGCTCATGGTGTTCATGATGTTCATTGTGCTCATGGTGTTCATGATGTTCATTGTGTTCATGGTGTTCATGATGTTCATTGTGTTCATGGTGTTCATGATGTTCATTGTGTTCAATGGTGTTCATGATGTTTTCATTGTGCTCATGGTGTTCATGATGTTCATGTGTGCTCATGGTGTTCATGTGTTCATTGATGTTCATTGTGTTCATGATGTTCATGATTTCATTGTGCTCATGGTGTTCATGATGTTCATTCGTGCTCATGGTGTTCATGATGTTCAATTGTGCTCATGGTGTTCATGATGTTCATTGTGTTCATGGTGATGTTCCATTGTGCTCATAGATGTTCCATTGTGTTCATGGTCATGTTCATGAGACTGTTCAATGAGCTTCATGATGGCCATGATGTTCATTGTGCTCATGATGGTCCATGATGTTCATAGTGCTCATAGGGTGTTCATGATGGTTTTTTATATTGTGTTCAAGGTGTGTGTCACCGATTAGAGATGAGCGAAATCGAACTTGGCTCCGCGAAAGAGGAATTGTTTCGAATCAATATTAGCAAAAATTCGAATTTTGTTCGCAAAAATGGCGGCGACACCTGCCTGTGGCGACGGAGCGTGGATCTCTGGGAGCACGCAGACAAGCGGGGCGGGGACCAATAATGCATTCATCTCATGACATCGTGGATCGCATGAGCCAATCAGCAGGCCAGCCAGCCCAGCCAGCAACTGTATGTAATGCGTTTTTAGTGGAGCTAATAAATTGCGGCCATCTTACAATTCTCCCATTTGCCTCCCGGTCATTCAAGAGAGACAGAAAACTCTCTGTATTAGGGACAGAGTTAGGGCCAATTCAGTATACTTTAGGGACACAGAATCGTTACTTAAGGGACACAGAACTGTTACTCAGGGACACAGAATTGTTAACTTCAGGGACACACAGAACTGTTACTCAGGGACACAGAACTTGTTACTCAGGGACAGACAGAATTGTTACTCAAGGGAACAGAACTGTTACTGGGAGGGGACACAGAATTGTTTTTATAGGGACACTAGAATTGGGTATACAGGGACACAGAATTGTTTACCTCAGGGACAGATCAGAATTGTTTTGCTCAGGGACACAGAACACTTGTTACTCAGGGACACAGAATTGTTACTCCAGGGACAGAACACAGAAATATGTTTACTGAGAGGACACAGAACATTGTTACTGAGAGAACACAGAAATGATTACTAGAGGGACACAGAATTGTTACTCAGGGACAGACACCAGAATTGTTTCTGAGGGACCACAGAATTGTTACTCCTGGGACACAGACAGTGACCTGAACCCCCACAGTTTTCTTACTCAGGGGACAGACAGAATTGTTACTCAGGGACAGACACAGAATCTGTTCTACTGAGAGGGACACAGAATTGTTACTGAGGGTACACAGAAATTTACTGAGGGACACAGAAATTGATACCACTGAGGGACACAGAATAATGAGTTTTACTGAGGGGACACCCTAGAATTGTTACTATCAGGGACACAGACTTAGTTACTCAGGGACACAGAAAATGTCTACTCAGTAAAGAGCACAGAATTGGTTGACTAGGGACACAACAGAATAAGAATTTTTACTTTACAGGGACAAACAGAATTGGTTTACTCAGGGACCCAGAATCGATACATCAGGGGAGACAAGACACAGGAATTGCTCTACCTCAGGGGACATGACACAGAGATACTGTTACAGAGCTTGATAGACACAGAATTGTTACTGGGGGGACAGACACAGAATTGTTTACTCAGGGACGACACAGAATTGCGTTTACTCAGGACTCAGGGGACAGGGGACACAGGTGAGGCAGGCGTTGACTACAAGGGGGACAAGGATATTCGATTTACATATGGACAGAACAGAAACTGGGACAGATACAGGAAGAGTTAACAGATTATCTTACAGTGACCAGGATCACCGCGAATTAGTTACCTCCAGGGACGGACCGAATGGGCCAACATGGAGGGACCAGCAGACAATCCCGTGGGTTACGTTCAGGGTTCACAGACATGTGAACAGGGGGCACGCACCAGAGCGGGTTTGCGCCTGGACTGAAAAGGCTTTATGTTCTTGGGCGATCGGGGGAGGGGGCCGAATTGGACGGGTTGTGGGGAGGTATGGACCACCTGAATCAGTTAGCTGCAGGGAGGACACAGAAGGTCTGTCTACTCCATTGACGTTCTAGACACAAATTGTTACTCAGAGCAGAAAAAAGGGAGGTTACGAAAGAATCAGGTGATTAACTTCCATTTAGTGACAGTCAGGAAACAGATTACGTTGAATTTATGTCGAACAAGGACACACACACCGAACAACGGGGTCAGGGACACCAACCAAACAAGTCCACTATGGCGGGTGCAGAACAACAGGAACGGGTACAAGGTTTGCACAGGTTGAGATGGAACGACACCATGAGGTGGCAGTGACCAACAGTAGAACGTGTACAAAACAGAAACACACAATCAAACTGGGGGTGGAAGACAACGAGCAACAGAAAACCTTGTTTACTCAGTGCATGTTTTGGAGTTGGAAGGGACACGGGGATGGTTCAAGGGCCTCAGGGGAACATGGGTACAGTTGGTTATTGGAGGATCACAGCTAAGGGGGTATAGACACGGAAGGTAATTTACTAGGGTTCTTTTGACAGGTTTAAGGAGGGGGGGACTTGAAGAGGGGTGCGTGCAGCGGAGGGTGGAACAGTGATACAGCTCCAGACAGGGGGCAGCGTGACAACTTCCACCCAGACAGCATCGGGAAATGCAGATTTGAATTGTGATTAACTACAGACTGGACACACAGAAATGAGTTTGATCCGACTGGGACATACAGAGACGGGAACGGGACACAAGGATGAAACATGAAAATTTGTTGTAGGTTACTTTAGGGGGGCATCTAGCTGACGGGGGAGGACACAAAGGAACAGACATTTGCGATTACAGAGGGACACGATCAGATCGACAGCAGCCTACAACCGGACAGAAGGAAGAACCATTTTTGGAATTGTTTTACTCAGGGACACAGAATGTTTGTACTGGCAGCAATTCAGCAAGAAGCAGAAGGAAGGAATACTGTTAATACTTAGGGGACAGGGACACAGAAAGCATAAGAAAAAATAAACGGCTAACAGGGACACAGACAACAAGGCGGACACAGCAAAAAGAGGTTAAGGGACAGGAAGGGACCAAGAAATGTTTTTCACTGAGCTGGGTTTCACGAGGCGGTAGTTAACTGGTACAACCCTCACCTTGGGTAATCAGAATAATTTGTCGTAAATTTAGCGCTGCAGGAAGGGAAGCACACAATCAATCACAAGGGAATTAGAGTTACTCAATAGGACAGGGGGGGAGCCAACGGTAGCACCAGAATTGTTTACTCAAGGACAGGGACATTAGGGGTGGGAACTTTGGGACACAGAATTCTGTTATACTCTGAGGGGACACAGACCAGACAGAAAATTGTTATTTTACTGAGGGACACAGGAACAAAGAAAATGATTTACTGTCTTTGCCAAGGGTACTGACATCACAAGAATGGTTAACACGTAAAGTAAGGACAGAGGGACAGCGACCAGACCAACACGGTACATCCATGGACACACATAAAAAACTGGGATACATAAGGCAGAAAAACCAGAATTGAGGCAATGAGGGACACAGAAAAAATTGTTACCTGAGGGAGTGGACATCCCACAGATCCGTTAACCTGAACACAGAACTCGTTTACTTACTCAGCGGACACACAGAATTGTTACATCCTGTGGGAGCATACAGACAAGTGACTTGTTACTCAGCGGAAAACAACCCAATTCTGAATAGTTACTCAGGGACAGACACAAAAAAATTCACGTTCTTACAACCAGGGGGGACACCGGGGGGGACACAGAAATTGTTACTGGAGGAGGGACAGCACATCAAAATTTGGCAGGGGATAGGCAGGGAAAAATCAGGGAAAGAGACCACTGAAAGTCGTTACTGAGGGACACAGAATTGTTTAATGGAGGATACCTGACACAGAGCAGGCAGTTACAAAGAAATCGATATAGCTTGGGATTAGGGGGGGGGCATTAGAACAGAACAGGAAAATTTACTCAGAGGGGCACACAGAATTGTTGCCTCGTTACTCAGGGGGACAGACCAGAATTGTTTAACTCGGCAGAGGGACGCAGACACACAGACAGAGGGGTTACTCGCTGGAGGGACACAAGCAGAATCGTTACTGATGGGACCACAATGAAACTGCGGACAGCACAGAATATACGATGTACAGATGAGACACACGCAATCAGACTAAACTCAGGGACCTCACATAGGACAATTGTTACTCAGGGACACAGAATCATTGTTGTACTCAGGGACACACCAACAGAATTGTTACTGGGGGGGACATTAGGTGTTTTTACTGCAGGGAGGGGGACACAGGAATCCCTGAGGACACAGAATATGTTACTTCATAAGGGACACCCAGACATTGTTGTTACTCAGGGACACAGAAGGTTATGAGGGATCACACACAATTCGTTACCAGGGGGAGGGTCCAACAGACTCGGGTTACTCAGGGGGCACAAGAAGGAATCGTTACTTACTCAGGGACACTAGACAATTTGTTATTGTTTTTCATGAGGGA